TTGAAATTCAGTACAAATGGGTTAAGAAAAGTGCAAACTCACTGACAGATGGTTTAGCTAGGCAAGGGGTTAATACAACCTCTTTGTTTTGGGCTTTATTGTAATTGTATTTGATGCTCACAGACTGTTATAGGGAGCTAAGATTGTTTAGCCCCCTTGCTTTGTAATTCTTCTTAATTTTAATGAATACATTTCACAGTTATTGATAAAAATAAATAAATAAATAAAACGAGGAAAAGTAAACTATGTTGGTTTGGGCATGCATAAAGAAGGTCATCTACAACACCAATAAGAAGTGGTCTATTACAAGTTAAAAGGACATGGATTGAAGTACAGAGAAATGATTCAAGGGTCCACAACTTAGCAATAGATATGACACTAAACAGGATGGAATGGCAGCACAGAATTAATGTCATCATCATCATCATCCAAGACTTATCCCACCAATCATATGGGGTTGGCTATCCTGTTTTTCCATTTCATTTTCTTTAATGTACCCAACCCTAGATAGTTGGGACAAGGCATAAAATGTTAAATAAGATATAGTAAAATAATATTTATAATTAAAATATAATAAAATTTTAAACCCTTCAAAATCTATCTAAGGGAGAGGCTATCTTAAAATGGTTTAATCATTTTAAAAGCATAATTTTTATCATTTTACAATGATAAATGCATTTATAAGAGTTTTTTTTTTTTTTTGTCCTTTAGAACTAAGGGAGAGGCTATCTTATAATGGTTTAATCATTTTAATAGCATAATTTTTATCACTTTACAATGATAAATGCATTTATAAGAGTTCCCCCCCCTTTAGAACTAAGGGAGAGGCTATCTTAAAATGGTTTAATCATTTTAAAAGCATAATTTTTATCACTTTACAATGATAAATGCATTTCCATCAAAACTGATTCATCCTCCCCTCCCTCTCGCTCTCACTCCCTCTCCCTCCTCTTGCACATGCCACTCAGCTGGTATTTTTTATGGAGAGACTTCATTGACACTACTTTTTTTGATCAATAACAGAATTTCATTAAAAATATTTAAAAATTACAAGACAGGGAGAGGTAAACTTTCTTAACTCTCGACAGACAAAAAACTGTTACAATTAAGCCCAAAACAACTGGTTCCTCCCCACCTCTTGTTTTGCTAAGACATCAGCAAACCACTTGCTGCCAAATGAAACTTATAACAGCTGAAGTAGCTGAATTGAATGACATATTGTTTTGTCTTTTAGTGGGTACAATATTTAATTAATAAAAACTCAAGTGTATAAAAATCAACCCAACTTTAACTTCAGCCATTAAGGAGCTCACAACCTCCTTAAAAATCAACGCAAATTGGACTGACTTTAACAGAGATTTCTGTAATTAATATATAATCCTCTGACATGGTCCATGTCAACATTTTTTTTTGATCAGCGCCCATGTCCACAAAGTTAACATGAGAAATGATAGGTAAGCTGGTATAAGCAGTTAACATGAAAAGCTTACAAAAATGTTATACAAATACTAGCAGAAAATAATAGAAAAAGGTTAATAACCAGAGAAACTACAAATACAAAGAGATAACAAGCAGATAATCTGCAAAAAATAAGTATTAATACCTCCAGTAAATTTGTCGCTGCAGAAAGCTGATTGTCTGTTCCATTTTGCTGCTTCATCAACTTCTTGTACCTTTTCACATATTTTGCATTGTTGTAGAACTCTCTTTGCTTTTCTGAAAATAAGGGAAAGTTTCATAAATAGGCAATAATAGATAAAAAGCTGGAAACTAATTAATCTAGATGATTCAACTAGTGGACCAGTATTCCAAAAAAGAACAATCCCAGGCTTTCAGAATGTCTAAAGATTACAATCATTTAACGTAAGGCAATCAATGTTTTAAAACGCGGAGGCGTGACACAAAGCGACCACCACCTAGAGGCATGAGGCGTTTTAAAATGTGGGGGCAATAGATGGCCCCCCAGCCAAGGGGGCCTAGGGGCTTTGCCTCCGGCCCACTTTCCTTCCCCTTATTTTTTCTTCTTCTTCTTCTCTTTCTTTTTCTTTCCCTTCCCTTTCTTTTCCTTTTCTTTTTTTCCATTTTTTTCTTTCTTTATTTTTTTTCTGTCCTTTTATATGAAATGTGAATGAGGTGCATGCCTCATGAAAAAGGCATATGAGGCGTACACCTCAGAGGTATCAGCACTTCTGGCATACACCGCAGGGCGTTTTGGGGGCAATTGCTCCAGGTGTACACCTCCCACACCTTTTAAAACACCGAAGGCAATATCTGTGGATGTTCAGAATAGTCTACATTGGTTAGTTGACGAACTATATTTCAGTTACAATAGGTTGTAGCAACATGAATAAATGGTACACCTAGTTACCAACTTATTAAAGCTACCGATTGCCCATGCTGCTACCATCTATTGCACTTTGTACATCCTATTACCAACTTATTGCAGGTTTGTAACTCCACTGGGTAAAGATGGTCTCATTTGATGCATAATCAAAACAGACTGGCAATGCAATTGAGGATCGTATATTGATTTTCCAGCAAAATATTATGGCCTCTCAAGTGACAGCACTAGCATATTAAACAAGGTTTGGAGTGAGGACCATATTGCTGGAATGAGTACCTTGCAGCTCCTCTCGCATCCTCAATTGAAGTTGCATTTCATACTTTCTACCTATTTTATGTCCTATCTTTGATTCTTTGAACTGTTAATTGTAAGAACAATCATTTTAATCTGGGTCTGGGTCACTTTTAATGCGATGAACTAATCAAATAACAATTAATCCATTTTTGTACATGACACTTGAAGTCTCTATGACTAGGCGGTCCTCTGCTGAAAGGTCGCAATCAGGATTGAGGAGGCTGTTGCTTACAAGCCCTAAAATCTTGAAATGATATCTAGTATTTTGATTAGTTTGAAATGATATCGAGTTCGATGTTGGGTTCCACCTATGTGGTCTCTAAATCCACTATATTTTCAATTCATAGGGATTTTAACGAACTTAGACAGTTCAGTCTTAAAGGTTCCTCACCACTCACCATTTCAGTTTAAAACCCTATTAAACAGAAGCAAGAAGTGTAATAAAAGAAAAAGGGGGAAAAGAGATTTTGGAAAAAAAAAAAAAACCCTAAAATTGAAGAACACAAAGATGACGGAATTACATAATAAAAAGCAGGGGTTTAGCAGGAAATAATTACTGATAAGGGCTGGATTGTAGTCTATGCTCTTGGATTTCGCATTCGCGAACGCTTCGAGAGACAAACCTCCTCCTCCCAGCCTCTTCTTCTTCTTCTTATTGATTGAGTTCGAGATCGAGCTGCTAACATTCTCTCCGTTCCCGTTGTACTCTTCCGATTTTCGGTTCTTCATCTCCACAAACTTCGACAAAAACCAAAAAAAAGAAACAAGGATAGCGAGTAATTCGTACAAGTAGCAGAAGAAGAAGAAGAAGAAGAAGAAGAAGAAGAAGAGAGAATGAATTGTTGGGCCGGAGTTGTATTGGGCCTCTTGGCCCTTGAGTTCAATTTGCGTTTTAAGTAGGGTATTTTGGGAGTTGAGTTTGGGCTTTGGTCTAGGCTGTGTTACTTGCAATGACCAATGATGGACGTCATGGGTTGGTTTATGGAAATGGAAAGTAGGGTTCGCATCTGCCCCCCACCCATAGACTTGCCCCCCAAAAACGTTCCCACGAAACTTAGGCGTGACGCGTGTCATGACACACGCGCATTAAATGACTTGTGCGATCTCTATTTCACGCCGTTTGTATCACGTCCGTTAATTCCTTCTCGCCCAAAAGGGTTTCTTCTCCCATTCCAAGTACTTTCTCCTATTCTACTGTTAACTGAATCGTTATTGTAAAATCAATAATAATTTGATAATTTCATAGTAGAAACAATTCGATGTAGATGATTTAATAGATACAAAAGAAATTTAAGAAAAAAAATTACAGATGATGAATACGAACAAAATTAATGAACCCAAGTAATTAATTTCTTTTATTTTTTCCTGGGTCGCCACCTTAATCAGCACGCTTTGAGAATGGCCTCTACATGTTCCTACACTACCTTCCATGCCAAGTTCACATGGCGGTCCTCCGTAAGGCTTGCACCAACAGCGAACCTGATCATGTAAACACCCCCAACCACCGCATGCGTCATGTATATGCACCCAACCGAGTTGATCGACTCCAGCAACTTACGGTTGATCTCGTTTGCACGTTCCAACTCTAACGATTGCCTGAGCGTCTCATCCTCATGATCCTTCACCGGCGGTGGTAGCGGCCGGAAGCATACCATCGCGAAATTCCTCGGCACCACAATCTCAAACCTCTTGTCCATGGTTACCTTCTTAGCCATTTTCACGTGGGTCCGAAGGAAATTTCTTAGGTTGGCCACACCATCTAGAGCTTCCGAAGCACCATCCAGAGCTTCATGGCTCGGAATCGACGACTGAGGGCTACTTGCCAGTCTTTGTAGTCTATCACTTTTTTTGATTCAGTAGCTTTGTTCCTCAAATACTCAGGACTGGTTGACAGGGCCTTAACAAGGGCGCTAGGGTCCTTGACCCAAAGGCAATAGCAATTGAGAGTGGTGAAGAACCACTTGTGTGCATTGAAACTGAACGAGTCTGCATCCTCTACCCCATTGATGAAGTGTCTGAACTTAGGAATATGCATGCACTTCCGGCGTATGCTGCGTCGATGTGAACTCAAACTCCATACTCTTTGGCCACTACGCATAGAGGAGCAATTGGGTCGACGGCTGTCGATGATGTAATACCGACAGTAGCACAGAGGAATAATGGGATGAGCCCAGCTTGTATATCTGCTTGGATTGCAGACCGAAGAGATTTGGGGGCCAGCCCCAATGAGGTGGCCTTACTCGTTGCAACGGCATGGAAGTTGTTTGGAAAGATCCCTGCAATCTAGGCAGCTTTCTGGAGTGCACAGTGGGTCTGATCTGATCCATAAACCACCAACTTCCCTATGTTCTCCCTACCAATTCTGTTCAACATCCGATCTCTGGCTGCTGTGAGAGTGCACAGGATGGCTTTGCAGGTAGTCCCTTGTAGCACACCACCACTGTTTCCAGAGAAGAGGAAAGACTTGGGGAACTTAAGCATCTTGCCAAGCCAATCCATGACTATGCACTCCAGCTCTGTGGCCACCGGCAACAACATCTAGTTGAACCCAACAACATTAAATCCAGTGCTAAGCATTTTGCTGAGAAAACCAGCGACGCTATCGTTGGAAGGGAAGTAAGCGTAGTAGTTAGGGGGCACCGAGAAAACCAGTGGCACTTACTTCCCTCCATTATAGAATGCTTACCTTCTCGTCGTTTGTATGGCCGACGGAACTCGAAAGAGTTTATCTCCGGTGGGTGGGTTATGAAAGGGGGCGCCAAGGGTTTTAGTTCATAGTAGAATAGGAGAAATAATACCCAGAATGGGAGCAAAAGCCCTTTTGGGCGAGGAGGAATTAACGAACGTGATACAAACGGCGTGAAATAGAGACCGCACGAGTCATCCTAGTGCGCGTGTGTCATGACACGCGTCACGCCTAGGATTCGTGGGACGTTTTTGAGGGGCAAGTCTGTGGTGGCCCTGGTGGGGTGGGGAGATGCAAACCCTGGAAAGTAGGCTGGTTGGGACTGTTTGGTACCATTTATTTCAGGGAGAATGAGGAATCAGCCCAGATCAGAATTTTATGGTTCCAAAGTACAAGGGGAATGCATCCTGACCGTGAATTGATGCCAAATTCACGGGCAGGATGTAGTTTATAGGGGGAGAGGGTTAATAATAGGGAGGGCTGGAATTCAGAATTCTGCATCGTGTGTATCTGTACTTCTCCGTTTATTTTAAGGATTTTCGGCTTTTGATAACAATTCTTGTAATTTGTGAAAATACTACTTTTGCCCTTTTGGAGGGGCTAATTTAGATCTCAGACTTTGAAAAAAGGTCAATCATAAGCAGAAACATGACATTTGTAATGTCGTCCCTTGCATCGTTTAAGATCAAATAAAATAATGAAAAATGAGATCCTCAAATTACAAGAACAAAAGTGTTTTTTTTTGGCAAAATACAAGGGTTATTAGAGCCGAAAATCCTTTATTTTAAGTATTTATTTGAATAAATACTTAAAATAAGTGGTGGGATTGGACAATAAGTGCTTATTCATGTTTGACAAAAAAAGTCCAGAATAAATACTTAAAAAATAAGCAATTTTGGGCCTATTTATTTTAATCACTTATTGAATAAGTGCTTATTTTTTATGGGACAAAACTGTCCCTACAATATTTCAAAATTTGCATCGATTGGCCCTCCTTATTGAGAAGACAATAGAACCCGGTTGGGATGTGCTGTGAGGAGCCAATGCGAATTCAATAAAAATCTCATTTGGGAGGGCTTTTGGGGTGATTGAACTGCACTGACTGAGCTGCTTCCAGATTTTTACCAAACATGGCTTGATGACTTTCCGGGTTTATGGATTCACACAATCCCATTATAAACAGAAGAAAATGACACCATAAATGCACAATAATGAGGCATTGATAATTTGGTTACTATAATCATTTATACTTGCACCCTTTGGGAATTTGATCAAATTTAACAGAAAAAGAAAAGAGAAAAGCTTTTAGGGCTTTAGCACTTATTCATCTAGTGCTTTCTGTTAGGTTTTTTCTTTTCTTTTTGATTTGTAGCTCTAAAAGGCATTTCTTCTTCCCTTGGAGCACATTTGTTGTGGGAAGATGGATGGATGGAAGGAAACGAACAACCCCACTTGGAAAAGAATAAGCAACTGTATGGTGAAGGTGTAAAAAATTCAAGCTAGTAGGCAATTCCCCTTGTATTCATCCATCAAACCCACTGTTATAGCTCTTGCTTTGCTCACCCCATGGAGGTGCTCTATATATTTCAGATCTTCCTTGCATATATGGATGTTCTACACATTGAATTCGGCCGGTGCGGCATTGCCCATCTGGCGGTTCGCTTCATTGTACTGTGGTTGATCGCCTCTTGGTTGTGCCTTCAGTTCTTCTGTGGTGATGGAATTGATGTTGGGGTTCAACTGAGGCAGCTTCACTTCACATTTGAAGTCCTTTTTTGTGTCCTTGTAGACCATGTAGAGGATCATTTGAGTGATTCCAAATGCAAATCCTAACACATTTGGTATCTAGTCATCAGAGAGATACACTTAATCAGCAATTATATTTGAAGTCTTGGCAATGTTTCCTTCATCTGTTGATCAGTCATAATACATACAAAACTGTAGGCTCAGCTAGACTTACTGCTATATATAAATCGTTCTTCAACAAACCATAGCAGAACCACAAGACTGCACAGAGGGTGAGGAAGAAGGACAATAAGAAGGGCATGAACTCTACACTTTTTGTTCTGATCACCTGCCTCTGAAACCATAATCAACAGTTTTTAGCAACTGGTGATTCAATCTGAATAATCCAACCCATTTACAACCCTAATTCAAACAAGTGTTTTGCTGAAGAGTTAATGAATGAAAGATTGGTGAAAATAAGTGGTAGTAGTACCATGATGCTAAGAGGAGAAGCAAATACACTGATGGAGAAGCCAGCACAGATCCATCCCACAACCATAACTTGCCTTGAACCATTGGTAAGTAGGAAGGTTAACAGTAAGATCAGTCCATAGGCTCCAACATTCAAAAGTAGTAGCAGCTTCAATGTAAAGACCTGGAAAGGCCATCAAAACACCTCTAATAATTTGGAGAACAACCACAAACCCAATAATTGAATTAAGAAGAAAAAGAAAGAAAAAATTTGTTTTAGGGATCATGGACAGTCATCTCTGTTGACCCACCAAACCCATCATCTCTCTAGGTATACATAACCATCTCTGTTGATCCACCAAACCACAAACCCAACAATTCATGGGTGTCATGTCAATATAGTAGTAGTTTTTGCTATATGAGTAATGAATTTGTCTGTGAGAACTGAGAATTGGCATCAAATAATGAATAACAAGGAAGGAAGAGCAACCCACCCTTGCCTCCTTGGGTGCATAAACCAGGTAGATGGTTATGTATATGGCTTCTATGCTGCATCCAATGCCATTAATGGTTTCAAGCATAGCTCCTTCGTTCTTGAGCATCGCATAGTATATCCATAACATGGCACTCAGTAATGCTACCACATATGGTATTGATTGAAATCCTTCTGTGGATTTCTTCTTATAAATCCTATAAAAGGTGGGCCTATAATGGAAAACAAAAGACAGATTAAACACCAGTTTATTGGAAATTTGCACTGTTTTTCAAAACAACTCTAGTGATTAGTATCATGGAGCTTACACTGGAGCCAGGTACACCATGAATGATACAATATTACCTTTTGAAACAGAAAAATACAGAAGATCCATCAGAGAGAAGCAAAATGATTTCTAAAAGAGATCAAATTCAATTGGAAGAAATGGAAGTTGGTGTATGGTACCTAGAAGGCCAAAGGCAAAAGCCAAGGTATGAATGGTTATATGAATTACCATTCTTGTGGGGTTGATGAAGCTCTTTGTGTTGGTGAAGGTGAACCCCTTGAAACAACAGAAAGAGCTTAGTCAGAACTTCTCAACTGGTCTCCATTTATAGAAGCACAAAACAAAAGAGTGAGGTTATGGGCTTAAACATGGCCGTTTTCTTTTGAGGTTTCTTCCAGGAGTTGCTTTCAGCTTTGAGCATTGAGATACAGGACAAAATTCACATGCACAGACCTCTTATAGGCCTCCATTGCATATGGGTTGGCTAGGATAACTTCCCACAAGTGCCCAAACCGTGTTGGGCTGGGCTACACAATTAGTATGATAGTTGAAATTTTCCTTTAAGTCTGTGAGCCCATCCGCAGATGGGAGGCTAGGCTTGTTTGGCCTTAAGGGCAATTTCAATCAGTTAATTATGCCATATTTCTCAAAATTTTGATACAAACTTTATCTTTTAGAAGACAATTAAAGTAAATGTACTTGTTTCTGTTTCTAGGAATTACTTTTCATCTAAAATTAGGCCCTGTTTGGTAGTACATTTGAAAGTCTAAGAAAATAAGAAAAGTCTTGAAACGTGTTTGTTTGGGGTGTTTTTTACTTTAAAAAACATAAAGTAAAAATATAAAAAACACGAAAAGCACGAAATCAGCTTTTGATACTTCATGCTTTTTGACTCTCTGGCATACTTTATACTTTCTAAAACGTGTATCAATCACATGTGTAATACTTATACACCCCACCATGTGATAGCATATACAAATGCCACGTGAAAGCATAGGCATGCAATATCGTTAACTTACCTTTTAGGTGCCACATGACATTCTTCTATGCCGTTATATGGCATCCCCAAATTATTGATTTACATTCAAATACCACGTGACATCTATATATGATACCAAATGGCATATACATGTATAAAACATTTTGTTGTACCCAAATACCATCATTTACTTTTACTTTGAAAAATATGTTTTTGAAAAATTTTCATATGAAACCAAAAATATACTATGTACTTTATATGAAAGTACAAAGCATAAAATACCACCAAACAAGGCATTAGATTCCAGTAACGGTTCAAAATTTTGCCCAAAAATCTTGAAACACAAAATCTGGTTAATTTGATTTTGTTGGCCTCACATGGAATCAATCAAAATTTTGTGAAATTTTAGTGAAACTGACAAACATGTTTGATAGGTTAAGAAATCCCAATCTTGTCAATCATATTTTGATTGGTTCACTTTAATCATTCAAAACAATGTGATGGGGCACATGAATGTAGTGTTTAATCAAGCTGTGTTTGATGGTTCATACTCACATCTACGAAGAGCAACTGATAATAATTCTCCATGACAGCAAAACAAGAATTTTTCTGTTTGTTTGAAATTGCTGGTTGCAGTCAACTATCAATACATATTCTCTAAAAGTTCATTTTCTTTTCTTTTCTTTGGGCAAATTGTTGAAACCTCCCATGGAGTTTGGTAGTTGTAATCACCTCCCTTGTACTTTTTGACATAGTTGCAAGTGGACCCATTTTGTTAGAATCCTTTAGCAAGAGGCACTAAAATGTCCAAAATACCCATGCAATTACTTTTGACCAAAATGTTTATTTTTCTAAATTTTTTATTCATATCAACCACTACCCCAAGCCTCTCCGTTCTCTTTTTTGAAATTGATTTATTTTTCAAACTCATCGTTTATATCAATCGCTCAAGGGTAAAGCTACAACTTCAAATTCTCATTTTTTTTGTTGTTCATAAAGTTTTTATTTTTTTTATCCGTAGAAACCAACCTCAGTAGTAACTGCAACTGCATGGGTATTTTGGACATTTTTATATGTCGTCTTTGAAGATTCTAACAAAGGGTCTATTGCAACTATGTCAAAAAATATAGGAGAGACCATTGCAATTACCAAAATACACTTAATTGTTGCTTGAAGCAATTGAGGATCATGCATTAACTAAATGAAACAGTTAGGCCTTAGCTGAAAACTGATAAGTTGAATTGTGACAACCATCCTTATCTTTTCCATTAAACCAAACTCTGAAATGGCAAGATGATTTCCGTTTCTTTGGGTCATTTATTGCATTCCAAAGGCATTCCAACTTGGGAAGAAAACCCATCAAGGACATCAGTTAGGCCTTACTGTCCTCTCAATGTTCTGGATTTCTTAGGATGGTATGAGCAGCAGTTGGTTTGGTTGAAGCTGTGAAGAAATTGATTGATTAGTTTTATACAAGAAGTCCAGAAACTAGAAAGATAGACAGAAACCAGTGGACGGTGCGTTTACGTGAGCAAAAGATGAAAGGAGGTTGGAGTTTGCACGCGACGAGGGAGGGAGAGTTGGAGAGAGAGAGAGAGAGAGAGAGAGAGGAGAGAGGAGAGAGGAGAGAGGAGAGAGGAGAGATAATATCCCACTCAGGCCGTTACATTAAAACAGTCTCCACTTGTACAGAACTCTCGCCACTTGCTGAGATCCTCTTGAAACAGAAAATCTTCAGAAGTGTGGACTGGCTTCTGGGCTGCTCCATCTTCACTGATTGATTGTTGGTAATAGCCCATGCTCATTAATGGACATTAAAATAAAGGGTAAATTGAATATTACTACTACCTGTAATTTGGGGCTAGTCTCATTTTAGTATCTGAAACTTTAAAACTTGGTATTGCAGTATTTGAATTCTCGGAAAGAGATTTAGACTGTCATCTTTGTAATCCTTTTTCCAGTTATTTAATCCATAACAGGGGAGGGGGGGGGGTTTAGACCACCATTGTTGTTGAGGAAGTTGCAGTCATCAAGGAAGACAATTAAGTAAAATGGTCTCAATAATATTAAAAAGGGTAGTTTTGGCATTTTAAAAAAATAAGTCATATGTTGTCACATGCTACAGATAATAGACGAACTATTAACAGTAGGTACTAAATTTGGTAGTCTTTTGAAATTTAGGTAATGCAATGGCACCTTTTGAAAAACTAGTACTAATATGTAATTTACCCTAAAATAAAGGGTCATCTGCATGTCAATGATCCAGATGTAAAGTTGTTTAGCTGGGTTTGGTTTTAATGTCAACGGTGTAAAGAGTTGTTGATTGGCTCTTGGATCCAAGAAAAATGATCATGAATAGTAGAGAACAACTAATCTCCAATTATGGAGTTGCATTTAATGAAATTGTTGTATGGAACTAACAAAACCAAGAACAAGAAAATAATGAGCAAGTACACAATACAAAAAAAAAAAAAAAAAAGTAAAGCAAATTGCTGAAACCTCCCCTTTTAAGTTTGATAATTATAATCATCTCCCCTAAACTTTTTGACATAATTGCAAGTAAATCCCTCTGTTAGAATCTTTTAAAAAGAGACACAAAAATGTCCAAAATATCCATCAATTACTACTAAGGCTGGTTTCAACATAAAAAAACAATAAAATTTTATAACAACAAAAAGATAGAGAATTTAAAGTTGCATCTTTACATTTGAGGGTAAATTTGAAAAATAAATCAATTTTAGAAAAGAGATTGAAAGGGTTAAATAAACATTTTGGTCAAAAGTGTAACTGTATGGGTATTTTGAATATTTTCATGCCTTTTTTTTTAAGATTCTAATAAAAGGTTGGGCTGAGGTTGAGGTTGAGAAAAGATTGGGCTAGGTCCAAGCCCAGCCTGATAAATTAAAAAGTCCAAACTTTTGGGCCCATGCCCATCTCGAATACTGAAAATCTAAGTCCAGTAAAATTGCAGACTGGGTGGGTCAGAAATTGCTCATTGACCTATTTATTTTCGCCTGAATTTGATTTTGCTTACCATGGAATCATTATTGGTGGTTCAGTTTTTGGTGGTCTGACTCTGAAATAGTTCAGTTGGTAGAAGTAGAAATGTGTGAGCAATTAGACAACACCCACTTATTTTACCAACTTCTTTTCCTGATTGATTTGGTTCTCTGGGTAATGTTTAAGGACTTGGGGAGGGATTCAATTACTTTTGCCTGCTACACAATTGTGCTGAAATTGATTACCCACGACCACCAGGGAGTAGTTAAAGTTGCATAAAAAGAAACAAAGCTTGGTATGGTTGCTGAGGATGGAGGAGGCAAATCGTCCGAGCTCCTTGTCTTCTTTTATGTATAATTGTTATCTTTACCATAGGTCACTCAGTCCTCATCCTCAATGTGTGTGCCCCTCTCTGTGAGAGAGAGAGAGAGAGAGGTACTGTCTTTCTCAAAGGAATTAACGGTAGATGCATGAAAGCACTCGTGATATTCTAATGGGGAATCCCTTTCCCACTGGTCATTGGTTGGCAGTATCCACTTTCCTGTGTCATACAGTAAAAAGGAAAAAGAAAAGAAAAGAAAAAGGAAGCTAGGATTATCAAAATGCATCAGATATTGAAACGATTTTCCCAAATCAAAACATGGATTTGATCATTGGGTTTGGATAGTTGGTTTGACCTGAGCACTGTATGGGATCACTTTTGTGTGTTTTTTTTTTTTTTTTTGCTTTGATACCACTGTTGCATCCATAATATTTCTAAAGGGCACACAGAAAAAGCTTTTAAAGTTTAGACTTGTTTTCACCAGCTGCTTTCAAGTGTATCAATTTACAAATTAGGATAATTGAGAGACAGACAATAAAATTCACTCTTAAAACATTCTAATCTCTTTTAATCTTTTTATCCATCTTTCCTCCTTCCTTTCTTTCTTTTCTACTGTCTTTAGTTTGTCTTCTTTCTTGTTGTGTGGCTACTCTCCCTTCACACCCATATGTATAGTATATGTATTCATATAATGTTTCCCAATTACTAAACCTAAGTTTACCTCCAAACCCACTAACCAAACTCTCTCTCTCTCTCTCTCTGCTGCACTAACAAAGCCTCATTAATCTTCTTACTAGAATACTGCTTACTTTTAGAAGTACTCATTAAGTATTGCATTAAACCTCAGCAAGGATTAGGAATCCCAATTCACTTTACTGACTTTTGCCGGGTGGACACTGAGAAATGAAGGTGGAACATCTTTGAATCCGTAGCCAAGTCTCTCTTTCTCTGCATTTCCAGGAATGTATTAAAACCCACAACAAAATTTTTGGTTCTCATGAATGTTTCCTTTTTTGCAGATCCAAACTAGAAAATGTGTCAAACCAGAAAAAAAAAAGAGCTTATATAATTATAAAAGGAGAAAAAGAGGAGCAAAACGCACAGCATATTCTACTTTTAATGCCACAGAGACAATTCTAACAGTGGAAGGAAAGGGTATTTCTATTTTCATTGGACAGTTCAGGATGACTCGATTGTGGGTGTGTTTGTAATGTACAACTACCAGTTGGGCTACGGGTACACATGGTAGCAATGTTTACAGAAAACGGGACAAAGAGCATATTAAGTATTTGTATTTAAACTGCTCCCATGCTGCACATATTGAGATTGATAGAGCAAACCACAAAGCTATTGTCTCCTCACTACAAGAGTGCAACTGGGTCCTAGACTCCTAGTTTGGATCAGGATAAGAGTTTTCTAAACCTTGGAGCTCTTTTCCACATGACCTCTCTCTCTCTCTCTCCTTTCTTTCTTTCCTTTCTTTATTTGACTAAACATGATTTATTGAAAGCGTTTGGGAGGATGACAGCCAATTCAGACTGTCCCTCAGATTGAGATTCCCAAATGTATAAGGTGGTCACCTCCTCAGTCCATGTTAGCTGTATACCCAGAAAGTTTTGAGCTAATGAATATCAAAATCTTATATACTAAATGTTGGCCTTAGGTTAGTTTTGCCATGCTTGCTAGCCTAGAACTTGCTCCATGATTTCTGGGCTTTCTAACTAAGTCAGAATGGCACTTGTGAAGGAAAAAGCTCCCAGGAATTATTCTATTGTGAAACCTCTCTTTATACCTAAGTTTAAAAAAAGAACCTTCTCTTAAATTATAAATCCCAAAAAAACCAATCAGAGAGCCTTGAGTAGAAAATTTTCTTTATTGAACCTATTCATCTAGCCAAATGGCCAAAAAAGGACCTATTCAGCTATTCAGTGATCATAAGTAAAAAACCAAGATAACTAATTACTAAAAGAGTGACCTTTTTTTTAGAAAGAGAGAGAGAGAGAGTATGCACCCTGTTTGTGACAGGATCTGGGTATAAAAGTAGAGTGATCGATGCTGGGATCATCATCATCTTACGTTTGATAGCTTCATCTGCATTTATTGCATCTCAGTAACATGGATCACCTTCAACTCTCCATATGAACCCCAAAAAAAGGAAGGAATCAAGGGATGATCTTACGTTACGTTTACTCAAAAAGTGGTTCAAGGTTGTGTATGCATATTATATTATTATACACCCAGAATATTAGGCCAGAGGCACATGTGATTGAAGCCACGAACCTTGATGAATGATGATTACATATTTGAGAAGAGAATTAATTGGCAATTACATATAAATCTCAGAGCCATGAATGGAGTGAGGTAATAATAAAGCAAAGTAAAAGCATCTTTGATAAGGGTCATCACAGGGCCAAAAGCTTTCGGTTTTGCTTTTGCTTTTCTTTGAACTCCCACTCTGCTTTCCTCTTTATATATTTCTTTTGTTCGCTTGCTTTCTTTGTCATTGGTTTTGCTGCTTAGTGAAGAAAGGGATGTCCCTAACCCCTGATCCAGTAGGAATCAATCCACATCCACAGTGGAAATTCCTAGACACAATGAAGGGTATTCTGGGTACTGCAGCTGCCAACAAGAATGTAAACCAATCTGATTGTTTACCAAAGAAATGGTGCCACTGACCCAGAGAATCTAATTAATAAGCAAAAGGTGATCTTTGTCAGCTGAGGTAAAGACTGGGAAAATCTTTATCTTTTGGTTGGAATGAGAATTCAGTTCAGGGGGGAAACCAACATATGAGTAGTTAACAGTGGTTTCATACTAAAGAAAATTGATCTCTGGTTCGCTTTAGTTCTTTTAAACAAAGCCAATGGCTTTCCCCCCATTTCCCTCCAGAATCCAGACCCGCCTTCGAGCACCCTCTCCATTAAAGCAACTCTTTTTTTCCTGCACACGACCAAAAACAAACCCTGCCACCTGAATAAAAACTAATGTGTAGGAGACCCAGATCAGAAGAACCTCAGCATTCCTTTCTTTAGCCTCTGTTTTTGCTAATTAATTAAGATCCCTTTGCTTCAGAATCGAGCTTCGGGTTTCTTGCGAGAGGCTGTTTCCTTGCAGCTTCTCGCAGCAGAAAAGCAACAACAAAGAGACTATGAAGCTGGTGGACGCCTATCATCTTATTCCCAGAGACGGCGAAGGATCACCCCACTTCATTTGTAGAGCTTGACTCTGAGAACCAGAGAATCGGATTCGGCACACTTCACAAAAACTTCAATCTAAACAACCCCAATAGTCTTCATCAACACAACAAGAGCCCAGAGGAGTTCGATCCCTGCCCTGGTTGCAACTCTCTTGGGAAGGTAAGGATTCATGGCTCTAATATTTCAACAATAAGCAGAGGAAGCTTTGCATTTTGCAACAGTTCCCATATTATATTAGAAAAAGAAGTGTTTCTTTTCGTAAGTGGAAGTCGAGATTGGCCTGAAAATTTATATTTCATCTGAATCCGAACTAACAACTGTTTCTGATAAAACCAGTACCATTTTTACTACTACAGAATTATCTCTATCTGGAACTGCTGCTTCAGTGACCGACTACAGTTGCTGCTGTCGACACTTTCTGGCTCAACTGCAGTGGCTGATTAATACTGCTGACACTGCTGGTGCAGACGAAGACTGCCGGAGGTAGAGATTTAATCATGCACCAGATCAACCCACAAGCCCATCCTAACAAACCTGCAGACGACTACAACTTGAAGGACACAAGCCCCCGCCTTGGAGAGCGATGGCCAAACGGAGGGGTACGAGGTGGCGGAGGGTGGATGAGCGGAGGAGACAAGTTCACCAGCACTTACGACCTCGTCGAACAAATGTCCTACCTGTATGTTCGAGTGGTAAAATCCAAAGACTTACCCACCAACTCCATCACTGGAAGCTGTGACCCATATGCAGAAGTGAAGCTGGGGAATTACAAAGGAACGACGAGGCATTTCGAGAAGAAAACCAACCCTGAGTGGGACCAGGTCTTCGCATTTTCAAAGGAGAGAATACAGTCATCAGCGCTGGAAGTCTTCGTCAAGGACAAAGAGATGGTAGGAAGAGATGACTATCTCGGGAAGGTGGTGTTCGACCTGAATGAGGTGCCGACGAGGGTGCCGCCTGACAGCCCTCTGGCACCTCAGTGGTACAGATTGGAGGACCGTCGGGGGGAGGGGAAGGTGAAAGGTGAGATCATGCTTGCGGTCTGGATGGGAACACAGGCGGATGAAGCCTTCCCAGAGGCCTGGCACTCAGATGCTGCCACCATTCATGGAGAGGGTGTGTTCAACATCCGATCAAAGGTCTATGTCTCACCCAAACTGTGGTACCTGAGGGTGAACGTGATTGAAGCGCAGGATGTACAGCCCAACGACAGAAGCCGGGTGCCGGAGTCCTTTGTGACGGCACAAGTCGGCAGTCAGGTGCTGAAAACCAAGATATGCCCGACTCGTACCACAAACCCACTCTGGAACGAAGATCTGGTCTTTGTAGTGGCCGAGCCTTTTGAAGAACAGCTGCTGCTGACGATCGAGGACCGGGTGCACCCATCAAAAGATGATGTGCTTGGGAAGATTACTCTGCCACTCAACATCTTTGAGAAACGCCTGGACCACCGCCCAGTTCATTCTCGTTGGTTCAACCTCGAGAAATTTGGGTTCGGAGTGTTGGAAGGAGACAGGAGAAAGGAGCTCAAATTCTCCAGCAGGATTCACCTCAGAGTGTGTCTGGAGGGTGGTTATCATGTACTTGATGAATCAACCATGTACACAAGCGACCAACGCCCGACTGCAAGGCAGCTCTGGAAGCAGCCGATCGGCATACTGGAGGTAGGAATCCTGAGTGCACAAGGACTGCTACCCATGAAGATGAAAGATAGCCGAGGCGCCACGGATGCATACTGTGTCGCCAAGTATGGACAGAAGTGGGTACGAACCAGAACGATAATCGACAGCTTCAGTCCCATATGGAATGAGCAATATAAATGGGAGGTCTATGATCCTTGCACCGTGATCACGCTCGGAGTTTTCGACAACTGCCACCTGGGGGGCGGCGAGAAACCAGCAGCTGGCGGTGGCCCTGCGAGAGACTCACGAATTGGAAAGGTAAGAATTCGGCTGTCAACCCTTGAAGCAGATAGGATCTACACCCACTCTTACCCACTTCTTGTTCTACACCCATCTGGGGTGAAGAAAATGGGGGAGCTCCAGTTAGCAGTTCGATTCACTTGTCTCTCATTGGTTAACATGATATACCTCTACGGTCATCCTCTGTTGCCAAAGATGCATTATTTGCATCCTTTCACAGTGAACCAAGTAGACAGTCTTAGATACCAGGCAATGAACATAGTGGCGGTGCGGCTGGGACGGGCGGAGCCACCACTCAGGAAGGAGGTTGTGGAGTATATGTTGGATGTGGACTCCCACGTGTGGAGCATGAGAAGAAGCAAAGCTAACTTCTTCAGGATCATGTCACTGCTGTCTGGTACAATCTCTGTGAGCAGATGGTTTGATGATGTCTGTCACTGGAAAAATCCCATCACATCAGTCCTGGTTCATGTGCTGTTCCTGATACTGATATGGTACCCAGAGCTCATACTTCCAACCATCTTCCTCTACATGTTCCTCATCGGGATATGGAACTACAGATTCCGCCCCAGGCACCCACCTCACATGGACACCAGACTTTCATGGGCGGAGGCAGTCCACCCAGATGAGCTAGACGAGGAGTTCGACACATTCCCGACGTCTAAGCCTCATGACATAGTCCGAATGAGGTATGACAGGCTCAGAAGTGTAGCAGGAAGGATTCAGACAGTGGTGGGAGACATGGCTACACAGGGGGAGAGACTCCAGTCTCTGCTCAGCTGGAGAGACCCAAGGGCGTCCAGCCTGTTCATAGTCTTCTGTCTCTGTGCTGCAGTTGTGCTGTACGTTACCCCATTCAGAGTGGTGGCGTTGATCCTCGGCCTATATATGCTTCGCCATCCCAGATTTCGCAGCAAGCTGCCTGCTGTACCAAGCAATTTCTTCAAGAGATTGCCAGCTCGAATGGACAGCATGATCTGAGTCCTGATGAAGTGATGAGAAGAGAAATGCAAACAATAATATATTTATATACCCAATATTATATTGCTGCTGCTACTGAAAGAGGTCTGCTTAGAAGTTTCATAGTTCTAGTGATCAAAATGTTCCTTGTTTGAGAAAATTTCAAAATGTTTTCTGGGTTTCTATTTGTTTATTGTTGTCTCTCTCCCTGAAGAGAGATGTTTGTATAATACAACAAGGCAAGCATATTTGCCTTCAAGGCTGCTGATGCTGGTTTCTGTAATGATAAGTTCCATTAAGTTCTGTCTATTCATTGATTCTTCCATGTTAAATATTTACTTTTTAATTAAGTTTTTGTCATAACAACAGACTCCAACCAAGAGAAAGAACTCAGCCAGCTCAAGAAAAAAGCTTTGTGAAAAGAACTACATATTAAAAGAAAATGCAATAAGGATCTTTTTTTTATTGTAAAGGAGATTTTATCATTTTATGTATAAACAATTAAATTATAGGAAAGAAATTTCAGCTTTTTCCTTCTTTTAGCAAATGATTTCGGGGGGAAGAGTCAACAAAATGAGCATTGAATGGGTTTGGTACATAAACGTCAAACCATTGGGCAAATACCTTCTGTTTATGGAAGAAAAATCGGGGAAAAATACATTGCCACGGGCGAAATGAACTAAACTTTACATTAAAAGAAAATCGTCAGAACTTTGAACAGCTAACATAATTTGCGAAGAACACCGATGTAAGTCCTATGAATACTTTGGACCGCATTGAACCAGTCCAATTCAATGTCTGGACCGTTGTTCAAATTGGTTCAAATTGGCACAACAGATTATAGATCTCAAGTTGTGATAATTGAGTAACCCAAACACTTTTTTTTTTTTTGGTGGGTGGGGGGATTACGTAAAACTGACCATGATTTCAGTTTTCTTTAAATTCACCGTGACTTTTTAAAACCTCGAGAGAAGCACATGTCAGTTAGATCACTGTAGTTACTTTTATTGGAAACTTAAACATTTAAGTATTTTACATGACCAAACTACTCATAAATTGCCTATCAAACTTATTAAATATTTTCATAACAAAACTATCCCTTACCTGGGCCCGGCCGGAACTATGCCTACAAATTTTAGAGCAAGTCTAAGCCAAATATTTCAAGCCCAGCCAAGGCCATACTTACTAGCAAGGTTCAAAATTTCGTCACGTATCGGCCGACATGTATCATTCCGACAAGCTTTCAGCACAGTACATAGTACCAAATTGAATGTGTCGTATCTATTCATCGTATCGATGTCGTATTGTGCCCGTATCATTGAGTATCGGTGCATTTCAGCACCGTATCAGTCGATACGCTACCAATAGCGTATCAACCAATACAGTACAATTTTACTGTGGTGGAATCGCAAATAAAATTCCCTTAGAAAGAGGGCTTCTAAACCCATTTCAAAAGCCAGAAGCCCTCTTTATTTCCCAAACCCTTCAAAAAGTTGTTTAACATTTTTAAAGACTCAAATCTTGTAAAAAGTTGCCAAAACATCTATAAATTTGCAAGATTCAATAAGTTTTTCAAGGTTGTAAAAAAATGAGTGAAAATAAATGTTTTTTCAAATTTCTTTTACATTTTCAGCCAATGTTAAAAAAGATGAGGGGAAAGAAAGTGGTTTGCCCCCAGACCCTTCGGCCCCTCCGCTTCAACAAGACCCCCCTTTTAACAACTATTATGCATTTTTATTGTTCTTATTATAAAAGATTTTTATTAAAGATAAAGAAAAAAAATGAAATCCCCCCTTCCTCCTTCCTCCTCTTAAGGAAGCTTTCACCTCCTTGTGTTCGAGAGGCTTACGCCTCTTGCATTCTAAACTATGCTTCACACCTCTAGGTAGTGGAACGCCTCTATGTTTTAAAACATTGATATTTATTTTTTTAATTTTAAAAATAAAACATGCAAAATAATTATTTCATCTATTATGTCCATAAATCCATTCAATTTTTTGTTACATATTTACTTTTCTTAATTTTAATTTATTTTTTAGAATAAAACATACAAAATAATTATTTGAATAAAAATAAATAATTATTTAGTTTTTACAAAATTAGAATAAAACATGCAAAATAATTACTTGATTTTTAATGTTCATAATTAGATAGTATGTTTCTGTTCCCGACTTCCTGTTTATTGATTATAATATGTTTTTTTTCATAAAACCCACTAAAACATATTATTTTTATGCATAAATAACTCATTTATGTTTTATATTTAGAGATATTAATGTTTATGAGTATTTATAAAATTTCCATGTGTTTTAATGTGTATCTTAATTTTTTGTCCATATCCATGCGTATCCAAGGTGTATCCCAATACGTCTCTTAAATTTGCCTTTCCGATACTTTGAACCTTGCTTACTAGCTTACTTATGTGCTGTATTTGAGAAATCAGGGGTGATGTAAAATACTTAAGTGCTTACATGGACAATTTCTATTAATGCTCATGAAAGGTGACTCAAACAGAAATCTAACGGAATAAGAGTTTTGGACAATAAAAACTCACTGTCTGGAGGTTTTGAAAAGCTTTAAGAGAAATGTGAAAGTCATTGAGTTACAGATGATATTCCTTTTTTTTTGTTTGCATTTACTTCGACGACTGTCTTCCCCGTTGTCTCAATCAGTTGTATCATTTATGTTGACTCTGCTAACGTGCTCTCCTCTTTTACCCATACAAGCCAACCATCGAAAATCCTTGGCGCTTCACAAATTCAACAAAACCTCATAACTTTAAAATGTAAGGCGTGGTTGTGACTTGTGTCTTTCATTTCTCTCTAAACATATTGGTTTATGGTGTTTTGGGTTCACAGTTGGTTTATGTTTTGTTAGTTTCTTTTCTTTTCTGTTTGTCTTCTTCGTGTTTGCTTTCTTTCGTGAATTAATGAAATTTCTTTAACAATAAAAAAAAAACATTGGGTCCTTTTTTTGTAGGATATTCATCAAAAGGGTTTCACTTTTCTTTTTTTGATACATGGAAGGTGAGAGTTTTGCTGGTTCAAAAAAGTTGTTTTTCACATTCACAAAAATAAGGTCCAGTTTTTCAACTACCATGTCAGTTTTAATTCAAAGCCAAGGATATAGAATATTGCATACACTTGTTTTTCTTTGATTTCTTAACCATGGCTTCTACCAAACAGTTCATCAAATACCTAACAAATGACGAACCATATGTCAGATAAACAAAAGCAATTTCCCCTACTTCATCAAATCAAGAAAATGTAAGGTAAAAGTAAAACATCTGCGGATGACATATTATCTCTTCCTTGTGAAAACATGTAAACTATATGTACATTATTAGCTCTCGACTCTGAAATTTGTGAACCTATTTCATCCTTGAGAATTTAATGTGATGCAAGAATAACAATTATATGAGGATGAATAAAATACATATTGCACAAAAGTAAAGAAAAGATGAATAGAAACCTCTCCTACAAAAATTTGAGCTACTGGGCATTGTTCATTCTACTCAGCCAGATGCTCCAACAGCAGCAGCAGCAGCAGCAGCATCTTTATCATATTCTCCCTTCTCCTCCTTGGCAAACTCTTCCATCAGCATACGCTGTCTCTCAGTCAAATTCCTGCATGGTGTTTGTGCCTTAGAAACTCCTTTCTCAAACTTGGGAAAAAAAAAGCATCCCAAATACCGAGCAGGAAACTCTTAAGATCAACAAGAATGACAACTTACGTTGGAATGCTGACAATGAAATGCACATATTGATCCCCATATGAGGCGGAGCTCCTTGTTCTAATTCCTAAAGAAAAAAATATCATGTGAAATAACTAATTAAATTTGAAAAGAAAAACCAAGAAAAATTATTGCAGATGAGACAAGTGTCATGTTGTGGATAAATTTTGATGCTCTGTAAAACTATGGTAGAATGGAGTGATAACCCTGAACCCCATGGTTCGAAAATTTTTATGCTTAAAGACAGGGATAACAAATGCAAATATTACATCTACCAGCTTAGAGAAGCAACTTAATTTTTTTTAGGGAAACTTATGGTTTGCTTCTCCTGAAAAAATTTTATTGGTTTAATGAATGTATTGTCCCTAACCCTCACCTATGCTACAGTACCCCCCCCCCCCTGTATTGTGATAGATTCCCCCACCTGTCACTACTACCAGCTGAACAAAACCTATAAAAATTTGAGGAGAAATTACTAAAAACACCTAATTTGTAATTTGGAGGCAGCCCCAAGTCTTGGAATTTGCAGTTCTCACCTTTTTTCTTCAGTACAACCTTCTGACCAGGTTGGGTGCCTGGGCGGACCTGAAACCAAAGTAAGTAAATCATGCCAGGATATTCAAAAGTCATTCTTCATAAATAAAAATGTCCCTCAAATTTTACATGTTTCCAACTTTGGTTTGCAGACTTTATCAAACAAAAACCCATGATTTCCTTTTTGGACCATGTTAGTTTCATTGCTGAATAAGATAAATCTATTTGATTAGTAACATGATTGATATTTCAAACAACCTTGAGAACAACATTGCCTGTGAGAGTAGGGACCTGGATGTTTCCTCCTAGAATTGCCTGCACAAGGAACAAACACCATTTAATAAATGGACCACAAAGACTTTAATAAAGAATATTAATATCACTTTTGAGGGGAAAGATCCTGAAACAGGAACCAGATTGAGTCGCCTCTTGGCTTTCAAAAACAAAAATTGAAAGCCGAATCATTCAACCTATGATACCCAGGTACCTGTACAAGTATGTTGTATTGTGTTGGATACCTCAATTTTTTTAGTTTAAATTTCATATCTTATACCATATCCAGTTGTTTCCTTGCCATATCAGCGCGATATAGTTCATAATTGATGCAGATAGAAAACCAATATAAAATAAATTCAGGTAAACCTACCAAACTTGACATAAAAGAGTCAAAGAATGGTATAGGTCATGATATATTTTGCAATAGTTTAACGATCACCAAAATTACTTGAAATCAACTGAGTAAGGAAAGGAAAGTGTCAGAAGTTAAGGACTGTGTTTTGACAAGGGCAATTCAGTGGTTGAAAACATTAAACCTGTTTGATAGTTATTCCTTCGATCTGACTCTCTTAGGGCTGAGATCCTTGCAGCGCTTGAAGGAATTCGAAGAGCAAAGGAATTAAATATCAGCCGTTTGATCCTGGAAGGCGATTCGAAGGTGGTGGTTAGTTGGTTGAAGACAGAAGACAGTGGTTTGTGGAACTTTAACAATGAAAAAAAAAACAGTTCTTATGGCTGGGTAGGAACATTGAGATTCAGTACAGCTGGATGAAGAGGAGTGCCAACTAATTTGCGGATGGGTTGGCCAAGCAAGGAGTGAATAGGGAGTCTGTTTTTTGGGCTAGTTTTTAATCTTTCTTCTTTGCATTTCCTTTGTTTTCTGTTTTTGGGGAGCTAAGTTATTTTATCTCCCCTTTTGTATCCATATTCCCTCTTTTCTTTTAATTTAATGAAAATGCTGTTATTGATAAAAAAAAATAGTTATTCCTTCAATGACCTGTGGAGGAACTGATTAGCAGTAGCCAATACTTCTACCAGGAAAAACAGACTTTTGGTACAATGGGAGCCACCTGGGGAGAAGCTCGTTAAGCTTAATTTTGATGGAGTAGCAGAGGTAACCCTGGACCCTCGGGTATAGGAGTTCTGAGAAATAAAGACAGTATGATCTGATCCTTATATTCAGGGCCTGTGGGTCTGGGAGACTATAAGGGCTGAATTGCTTGCTGTGGTACAAGGTATCCAGCTTGCAAACCAGTTAGGGATAGAGCACTTGCTTATTGAAGGGGACTCTCAGGTGGTGGTGGGATGGCTGCTGAATCCGGACTCTGATTTGGGGGTATAGAGACCTCTTTAAAAAAGGCAAATGGCTAACAAGAAATATGACAGTTAGAGTCCAGTGGGTATGCAGATCAGCAATCTCTATGGCTGATTCACTTGCTAAACAGGGGGTTTCTCGGACTCTTTATTTTGGGCTACCTTGTAATCATGTTCATCTGATCTTGTAATGCTGTAATAAATCTTAAAGGAAAGGTACGCATCCCATGCCTTTCCTTGGGTCGCCTGTTACTCTTATTTTCTGGATTAATAAAATATTTATTCATTGATAAAAAATAATTTGCAAATTGAAGACTTTGTGGCTTTTCTTATATCCAGCATGAAGATCATCTACAGAAGAAAAAAAAAAAAACATTTTTTACATATTGATAATGAAACACCACCTCAAGAAACTATCTCATATTGTACACATTGAAAAAATCAGTTTGTTTGTACATCAGGGAAAAAAAGGTTTCCTGGAATAAGATGCATGCAGAAAAACTACAACTATGAATTACCTGACTGACACTAAGAACAGCATCAACATGGATGTCAGGACCTTCTCTCCGAAAAACAGGGTCTTCTCGGACCTAGAAATGAAAAATGCCATCAAACTCTTAGAACCAAACAAGGTATGACAACAAACCATTGGCAATAAGCTGAAATATAACAGATGATGAAAGAAATTAGACAGCTTGCCTTAATTGTAACATAAAGATCACCGGGTTGATTGCCTTCAGGATCTGCTCCACCACTTCTATATACTTTCATGGTTTCGTTATCATCAACTCCTATAAACAACAATGAACCAAAAGACATCAAACATTGTTATTAGGTACAAGAATATGAACGAAGATGACATACATTCATGGCATACACTAATGCCATTTAATGCTTATTTCTGCCCCCCTTCCCGTTCCATTAATTATATGGAAAATCATAAATGCCTTCTTCCTGTTTAAGCTTTGAAGGACATGTAAAGAGCTTGAAGTTGAGATGTTTTCTTAGAAATAGTTGGTCCACATCACTTGGGGTGCCTCATTAAATATACATATTCACTAATCTATGAACTTTTAGTATAGAAGTAGATAAGTAACCACATTAAACATCTAGTTTCACACAACGATGCAAGCGTATAAATCAAAGAGTAAAAGAACTTATTGATTTGAACCTTATTCTAACAAAAACTTTGTGCAACATGCAGATCTTTATAGATATCCTTACATTTTAGCCAGCCTAAAAAAGGAAAAAGTAGCTATTAACTTAAAATAAAATCTTAGTTTCATAAGCATAGAAAATAAGATATTATCAATTACAGAATGTAGACTGCTTAAATCGTTGCCAACAAAAAAAAGAAAAGAAAACCGCTTAAATGGTATCTTAATCGTTCATTTGAACCCATGATGTTCTAAAACCCATACCTGGATGTCTCAGCAAGTACCAAAATCGGCCAACCGACCTAGACCCAGATATGCATTAAGACAGAATTGAACAGTACCAGGCACAATCAGCATTCGAAGGTCCCAATGCTTACTTCTTTTGTTTATTGAAAGGCACCTAAACCTTGTATTCTACTTATCTTGAAACTACATGGACAACATTGAGTTGATATTGCAAGGGCTACAACTAAGATGGACCAACCTACCTCATTGACCAGTCTACTTTGCCTGGTTTTGAACCATTGATCTTAAATATGGTATTAAAAAAAAAAAGTTACAAGCAGAGATGGTAACATAAAAGGTCCATCACCGAATATTGTTGGTCTTGAGTTCTTGACTCCTGACTCTCCAGGATCTTGGGAGAGGTGCTTCGATACAGGTCTAACTTTCAGCATTTTCTTGCACAAAGTGGCTGCACTCAGGCTCCAACCCATGCTCTCAAGGTTGTCAGCCTGAGATTTCGCCATTGGACTAAAGCAATAGCCCCCTAATCAGAGGAGATGACACTATCTCTGAAAAAGAGGGCCATCAACACCATCAAAGAGCGAGAGAGAGAGAGAGAGAGAATAACATTATCAGAATACATAGCCACCAGAAATTGAAGAATATCTTCAACTCCATAACATTTCATAGCGCATGAAATTAAATTTAAAATAAATAATTATGATACAACTATATATTGGCCCAAAGGATAATTTAAATATATGAATACCTGGAGTTACATCCAATCTGACTGACTTCGATCCTCTCACAACACGTTCTCCTTTGCATGACTTGCAGAAATTCTGTAAACAAAATATATGGAAGATAACTCAATGCAACAGTCGAATAAAATATTCGCATGTTCTTAAGAAAGATATCAAAATAAGTAAAACCATAAGGAATGGAACAGAAGTGTAAGTAACCTCAACTTTTGACAGAAGCCAAATCATTAGAACTCACTATTACAGACTGATAAAAAAAATCACAGAAAGTTGAGATTGTAATTCCAAGTCCAGATACCAACTGGACCATAAGTACATCCCATGGATTAAATGATACTTCCTATGAGTACCAACAATTGATTTTAATTAATATTTTCTCCATTTTGTAAATCAGCTATGAAAAAAATACTACATAGTGCACCATACTGTTGCAAATCAGTTCTAGAATCAATTCAACCATAAACCTTTTTTCATCAGTCATTCAATCATCAAGGATGTTATTTGATATGGTAAGTAGGGAGGGCATGACAAACATTGTCCAGTCATCATTTCAGTTCAAATGGATAGCTTAAATCCAACTACTGAGATTATTATATGGTTGGTTTCAAATATTTCAATCATGAGATTATAACATTAGTATGCATATTTCATATTTAAAGATGACAATGGGGAAGTCCTTTGGGTAACCTATTCCACCTTGTCTTTATTGAGATGGATTCAGTATGTCTCCAATATCACATTACTATATTACCATGTTATATAGACATTTACAACTTTGTCTTTCTTCATGTTTTTTTCCTTTTTGTTTGATTGGTAATTGGATAAAAATTCATTAATTTTGTAATTTGTATAAAAGTTCAGAAATAATTATCAAAATAAAAAATAAAAATTCAGAAACAAACTTCAAACACCTGGGCCAGTCCACAGACTGCAACCCCCCCCCCCCCAACCCAAACCCAATACTCAAAACTTAAAAGTTTTCCTACTGCAGTCTATAGCAGCAGGACCAGGACCAACATACAATAATTTCCTATTAACCCTACCCTGGCTAGTATCTCACATTGTGTTGGCAGATCCAATAAAGCTGCATCCTAACCTTGAGGCAAAAAATCTTGCCTTTTATGAGGCCCATCACCCCTCCCCCCCCCACACACACACACGCACGCATCGCAACAACCCTAGCCAAATTGTTGTGGAGCATGCTGGAAATATACAACACTGTCTCATAAATCTACCAGTTGATTAACATCTAATAATAACCATAACTCACCTCTTAGAAATTTATACATATGGCCTTGTATGCTTTCATGACTACTATAATGAAAAGAGTACTGCTGATCAAGCAGGTTAGGTAGGCACCTTATTATCTTTAAACTATTTAGCATACCAAAAATATATGGTGTATCACCATATCATATTATATAAATAAAAAACTTTGCTGGGGTAAAAAATGGGTTTCACTGCTCAGCACTGTGGTATAACTATTTCCTTCAATACCTGTGTAACAGGGCTTGCACTCCCTTGTTTCTGTTTGATTTCTTAGTTTGTTTTTCAGCTTGTTTGATTTCTCTATACAATGCTTAGATTTGTTCTAATATATCCTGATCATTATAAAACAGAAAACAAAAGGCTTTAGAAAAAAATATAGTTTAAAACTTTAAATTTTGTTAATTTGGCAATGAAGTTCTCCATTATAAAATTGCAGACAAGGAATCAAATGTAATATCAATAGTGGCACTCCCTTACCCTCATATGGTATTTGATACTAAAACAAACACTACTATACACATAGAAATCTACTCCCACCCTTTGCATTACCTGTGTAATTACTAAACCACCTTATACCAAACCCACACAAAAAGGAGAAACCCTTTGTAAGCAAAAGGATAAGAGTAGATCTCTATTCCTAGTCCAGTATACATAGGCCTGATGCTGGAGTCTAGACATTCATGGATTTGTCCCAATATGATACCCAGCAGTGAATTTTTTTCTGTACAAAATGGCAACTAAAATAAGCTCATTTATGATGGCATTTTCTATTTCAATTCCTTGGAGAAGAAAGCTTTTTTATAATCCTTGTAGATAAAGAAAATGTTGTTGCTACTTGCTAATCTGATCATAATTTATACATAATCAATGAGCAAGGTTAGTGTCACAATCAATAATTGAAAAGAATGAAAACCATAGAAATATAGAAGATTCCGTAATATATATGTGGAACAAAAGTACTACTTTGATTTTCTATGAAGATATAGAAAAAAAAAGTGTCTCAAATGCTTGCAAATAATAAGTTAACATACAAGACATACTGTGCCATCATACCGTTACAGTTTTCCCAGTTCCACCACAATGTGTACAAGTTGTCTGCAACCTAAATGGGCCTTTTTGCATAAATATCTGTAGACATAACAGAAAAAACACCTATTAGACATAACAACACAAAATAGCACATGCACATGTTTACCCGGTGGCGCACACACACACACACATCCAAAAGAAAACTAATACAGATGAAAATAAATGATTTGTCACAAAACTAACCATTCCAGAGCCCCTACAGGGTCTACATGTTTCAGGTCTTGTCCCAGGAGGTACACCACTTCCACCTGCCTCTCCCCCAGACAAAAGAAAAAAGTTACATGAATTTTAAAAGAAAAATAATGGCATTTGGAACTCAATTAGGCTTATGGAACCAAAAAAACCGATGGACTGCACATGAAGAAAATATCTAGATAGTGAAGAAAGATTATTGTCATACCACAAGTGTCACAGGGTACATCAGTTTGAAATGTCACAGTTCTGGTGCACCCTTGAACAGCTTCCATGAAAGATAGTTCAAGAGAAACCTGCACACAATCAACAAGGAGTCATAAACATCAAAGGATCAAAGTGTGGAAAAGTCAAAAATTAACAACTTCATACTAGAAGAAAGTCGTGAAGAGATAAAATGGAATACAAACCTTAACATCTTTCCCCCCAAAGTTCCTCCGTCCAAAGATATTCATGAACTGATTTCCACAACACAATGGCACACCCAAATCATGTTATACAAAGGATCAAATAAGATGCCAACTTGCATATTAATACACCAAAGATATAAAAAAAAAGCTTAAAAGAGCGACTACATTGTTACTTAAACCATATTGATTACACAAGAAAATGCACAGAACCAGGGTGGTAACTTTTAACAAAGTTCACAAGTAAACAACATTGCCAGACCATCTACATATAGAGAGCAATAAAAGCATTAAATTCATTGCAAATGAAAATATTTTGAACAAGACGTCAAAGTTAAAATTATGAGAAGCTAAGAAGGTAGTATATATAAAGGCAAAAGAAACAAAATTTAAAGGACATTTGAGATAGAATGCTTACATCTTGGTTAAACAAGTCCTCAAATGGGAATCCAGAACCTCCAAATGGACCATCAAAGCCACCAGGACCACCACCTCCGGTAGCATGTTGCTCAAATGCATCATGACCAACCTGATAAATTTACCAAAAATATCGTGATTATAAACAGAAAAAAATATTATTACTAGTAAGAGCACAGGCAATGAAACAACCTTGATAGCAATATTAGCATGTTTGGTACTAAGAAAACAAAATGTAGTTTTGCAAAAGAATGGAACAATGGATCATTCTAGCCTTGTTCCAACTATTTGGGTCAGCTACATGAATGAAGTCCGTTTATTCCATCTTAAATTTTATTTAATAGAACAGGTACACAGATATTAATTACCTCCATCCAAAGCCTTTTTTAAACCCACATTGTCCATTTATAGCCTCCAACTTGAACCTATAATTTGCTGTCAGTGGTTAAGTCTTTGGTCTTCATAGTAGAAAAATCTAATAGATCTTCCCTTGTTTTATCACCAACGAAGTCCATCCTAACTCCATTCTGATGCACTCATTTTAGGGGTGTTACTTGGGCCAAGTTGAACTGAGCATTTGTTAAATTTTGAATAAGCCCGAGTCAGATGTAGTTGAAATTCTTCAACTTGGGCAACCTGACTTGTGTTCCAAATTCATTTTCAATTCTGTACTTTCAAATTATTAATTGCTGAATAATCTTCTCCAAAAACATGGAACTAATCTTCCCTTAATTTGATCAATTAGGCTCTAAAATATACATATAAACTTCACTCATCCAACTTTAAGCAACATCCTCCTCAACCAATCCCTAATCAAAGATAACCAACTGAAATCATGGAAATTGTCCTTCTGGGATATCAAACCACATATATTCTGCCCTGGTACAAAACTTGGTGTAAAGGCAGGGGGGATGGACATGACAGTTGAAAGGGGTTGTCAAGCAATAATCAATTGACTAAAATCAGAGGAAGAGGTCCCATCATTCATGGAGGTTTAGATTTCTGATTAGAAAAGCAAAATCTCTAATTACTAGCCTAAAATGCTAAATTAAGTGGACCCCTAGATCAGACAACAGCTTGATATCCCAATATAGATCCTGCCCTAATCCAGCTTATTTTGTAATCTTGGCTCAGAGCCATCTCAATATAGATCTAATTGACTAATTCTCACAATATTCACTAGAAAGAAAGGAGATTGCTTGAAGAAAGCATTGAAACAGTTGCAAATATTATCAATCAATAGAAATTGGTTATATTCTTAGGAGTTGTCTTTTGCCAAGTGAAACATTACAGGCTAGTTAATGACAGAAAAAAAAAAGAATTTGAGTAGAAATATAACAAAGATTCCATGATCTAATTAAACACGTGGAAAATAATCATTTAACATTGAATTTTATGTGGCTGGATAAAATAATGCTAGCATTATGTCAAGGTGTAAATACCAGTTTAACTTCAACAGAGATATATCAAAAGAAAGTAACAGGTATAATGTTGTTTCCAAATTCCAAGATAATTGGTGTTACTAAAAGGAAGCTAACTCCGCACCTGGTCATAGAGAGACCGTTTTTCCTCATCTTTTAGAACCTAAAAGACAACAAAAAGAATAGTTATATTTACATTCTCTGCATATATCATTTGAGGGATGCACATCTTTATGAACAATAATTGTTACAAAGCTAAAGAAAAGAAGAATGCCTCGTAAGCTTTTTGAACTTCTTGAAACTTGGCCTCTGCATCAGCATCTTCTTTGTTTGTATCGGGATGTAGCTTCTTTGCAAGCTGCAAAAATCATGAAAAACCAAGACAAAGTAGAAACAATCTTATAGAGAATAGTTCCATGGTTGAATGGGATCATCATAATCGATGTTATGGAATGAGAAACCAAAACCTACCGCATAGTAAGCTTTCTTAATTTCTGATGCACTCGCATTCTTGCTCACTCCAAGTACATCATAGTAGTCCCTTGAAGCCATATGCATTGACGCTTACATACATGAAAAACAAATACGTGTTATTCAAGCTTTTTTTCTTCTTTAGATCATATTGCGTTTATTTCTCTATAAAATGGATGTAATTTTTTTCAGACGGAAATATTTCAGCTATTATGTCCACCATTCTTATTGCAGAAGTCTTGTCTTCCGCCCCTCTTAGATTTATTTTGATGTAAATGCCAAGGAAAACTAAATTTTGAGTGAAGATACAGCTCAATATTTCAGCCAGGAAAAAACACTTCCCTCCATTTTTAGTTCAAACGAATGACACCTGGCTAAGTTGTTTCGATACACCGAAGAATAAGCCATCAGAAATGCAAGAAAGCTAAGTTGTTTAGATACCTGTTCCATGGAAGGACCTCGTAGGCCTCCAATTGCAATGTACAAATCCGCCCCACCGTCCGTCATTTCGTTTCACTGAGGCATCAAAAGCAACCAGATCAATTACAAGCATAAAAAAGAAACAGCAATGAACAAAAAACTCAAGCTTGAGCCTGAAAATATCAACCTACCGTTACCGCTGTCTGAATTTTCCAATCCCAAAATCCGGGAAGAATTGCAGAATCGGGAAACAAATCCCCTGCGGCTTCCATGGTTCAATGAATCATTGATCTGTTAATAACAAATAAAAATTGATGAGAATAAAATTCATCGGAGCCAATCAATCACAACCCATCTCTTACGAAAGAATGGTTGACAACCTTGGTGCCCAGAGACCGTCGGGCGAACCAGTACACCAACCTAGCACCGCCCGAGCGCACCATTTGGAAGTGGAAGTTGGAGAGCAAAGAACAGAGGCAGTGTAAAGAAACCCTAATGAGAAATCCCCGATAATTCGGGGGAAATTTGGGCGCCTGCAGTTGCTCCTTTTTTCCCCCGTTCGAATGGTCTAGAAAGGTTCCGTTTTTAGTCCCGAGGAGACGGAAAAATCCTACGTGTACCCTGGACCCCTCCACAAAATAAAGTTTTATTGGTCCACGGCAGATTATTATTTTATTTATTTACTTTTTTTTTCTTTTTCTTCAAAACACACCATGGTTTTAAAAAACGACCCAGAATCGGAATGGTTCTGGTGGTCACCGGTTTCCAAGTCGATGGTCCAACCGTCTTGTTTGAACGGATGGCCGGTTCTGGAAATAAAAAATAATTAAAAATAAAATGGCCAAAAAACGTTGAACGGGTCGACATTTCGACGGTTTGACCACCCGAGTCAATGGTTTGTTGACTTTTTCAATGGTTTTTGACCAAAGACCAAGTTTGGGGTAAAATGGAACCGGTTGTCTGGACGGTTCCCAAGCCAAACGATCCAACCGCTTAGGTCAATGGCAGTTCGAAAACCATGAAACACACTATGTTTGGTTGGAGTTCAAATATGCTCCTCACAGAGTGCACCTCTCACCGACCTCATAGCATGTTCTGGCCTTTCATCCGGAGCATCTCCCATACTTGTATTTATTAGGGAAAATTCCCGATAGGTACCCTGTACTTTAGGCTGAGTGCCAATTTAGTACTCAAACTTTAAAACGTGGCAATCTAGTACCCAAACTTTCATTTTTGTGACAATCTAGTACTTGGCGTTAATCAGCCGTTAAATAACATGCAAAAAGACAAAAATGCCCTTCAAGTGTAAACTCACAACCTTACTCCTCTGTGAAACTCCCAACCTTCCACAATTACGTACTTGTTTAACTACTTCACCGATGAAGCCCCGAAGTGCACTACGCTGATCTTCGGCGGTGTGGGAAGGGTTTTGTTGGATGACCGGAAGAATTGCATTCCTAGTAAATCAGATCAACAATCTTTGAGGGAGTGCTCTTCCAAGGTTGTATTACATGTCAACTACAACAAGTTGAAATGCGATAGCAGTGGCAGCAAGGGTGGTGCTACTCCTTTCCCTACATCGGGAGCAATGACACCCATGCCGCAACCCCCACCGCCAAGTTCGGCCTACTTACCTAGATTCTTCAAGCCTCCTCCACCACCGAAGACAAAGCATCCTATTTTACCACAACCTCCATCTCCGCATCCAACTAACAGACTAAGCAGAAGCCTCCTATTAGACATTACCTGCCATCACCACCAACCCATCATTATCCTTATGCATCACCACCACCACCAACCCATCATTCTGGTTATGCCTCACCTCTTCCCCATCTTCCTTCTCCTCCAACCCATCACCTTTATATACCACCATCGCCACCTCCACCACATATTGGCATGCCGCCACCGATCCATCATTATACAATGCCTCCACCCCCAAAACAATTCTACCCACCTCCAACCAGTGCTCCGCCACCACAAGCTTCTAGCTCTCTCTCACCTCCATTTGGGTGCGTCATAGAATCACCTCCTTTGCCACCAAGTCATGCTTCCCAACCACCATCACCACCACCATAAGCTTGGTCTGAGTTGCCTTATGTAACCGATGAACATGGGAGTAAGTAGGATTCTAGAAGTGATTTCAAATCACCGAGATCAGCTGGGATCGATCCGTTGAATTCTTTTGTTACCGGAGAGAACAAGCCTCTGCAGTAGATTGAGGATAGTAGCTTACCCAGCTTCTCTTGTAAGTAGAAGTCGTAGATGCCACATGGATTGTTTTTGTAAGGATGGTCACTGCACTGCATCCCCTCCCCCATGTCGTCCACTGATCCTTCACCACCACCACCCTTGTCCATCGCTATCATCTTAATCCCAATCTCGACAGCTAAACACTACCGCCAATACAACCCTAGTAAACATATTGTAAGCCACGTTGAATTGCTCCAAGCTCTTCATCTACCCAATGGCGGGTGGAAGCAGGCCTTGGGGATGCAACCGCCAAGGTTGTTGTTGGACAACACAATGATGGAGATGGGGGAGTTTCCGATGTTGTTCAAAATGCCGAACCAGAAGTGGTTGTTCAAGTCCTTATCAAAGAGCCATATTTGCAAAAATGGTATCTGGGGAGATGCCGCAAAAATGGTTAGAGTTGAGGTGGAAAAGAGCCAATCAGCCAGATCCGTTAAGAGGCCAAGCTTGGGTATGAGATAGCCAGCAATGTCAGTGTGATTAAGATCAATGTCAGGGACTTATGGTTTATGGTGTAAGTTGCTAAGGCAATAGATGTTAGACAGTTTTGTATGCCCTTAGCTTCAATCAGAATGATGTACTTTATGAGTTTATTGTAAATGAATAAAGATACATATTTGATTCA